TTTCCCAGCTGTCCTGCAGCCCCTCCACGTCTCCGGCATCCTCGCAGTACTGCGGCCCACGCACCGCGATCCAGCCCACCGGCCCCCCGGCCCCACAGCGGCTGACCTGCGAGGGCCGGTTGGACTCCAGCCAGCTGCTGAACTCGGCTCGGGGCGTTTTGCGGGCGTCGAAGACAATCCAGGGGTCCATGTCGGCGGCCATGGCCTCGGCGGCGTAGTCCTCGGCCGAGAGATGCTCGTCCTCCGCCATAGCGAGCCGCTGGGGAGGACAAACACTAACCTGTGTGTCTGTCTGATTATGAGTTTCTCTCTCTATACAGGTCTTCAACTCTGCCACAAAATACGCATAATACAGGTTAATGCAACGGTAAATGGACTTTTCCCCCTCAGAATTCTAGGTTAGCATCTCTTAATTTTGACCTTTTCTCGCACTTGCAAGAATTCAAACTTTTTTTCTCATCATTTTGAGTTTACATCTCACAATTTGATTTTTTTTTCCTGCAATTGCATATTTATATTACTATTTTTACTTTACATCTCACAATTTTTACTTTTTTATTGCAATTGCATATTTATATCACAATTTTTACTTTTTTTATTGCAATTGCATATTTATATCACAATTTTTACTTTTTTTATTGCAATTGCATATTTATATCACAATTTTTACTTTTTTTATTGCAATTGCATATTTATATCACAATTTTTACTTTTTTTATTGCAATTGCATATTTACCGTATTGGCCCGAATATAAGACAACCCTGATTATAAGACGACCCCCCTTTTTTATATCACTATTTTTACTTTATTGCAATTGCATATTTATATCACGATATTTACTTTTTTATTGCAATTACATATTTATATCACAATTTTAACTTTTTTTATTGCATTTGCATATTTATATCACTATTTTTACTTTAGTTTACATCTCACAATTTTTACTTTTTTATTGCAATTGCATATTTATATCACTATTTTTACTTTATTGCAATTGCATATTTATATCACAATTTTTACTTTTTTTATTGCAATTGCATATTTATATCGCAATTTTAACTTTTTTTTATTGCATTTGCATATTTATATCACTATTTTTACCTTAGTTTACATCTCACAATTTTAACTTTTTTATTGCAATTGCATATTTATATCACTATTTT